TTGCATCGCCGGATTTCTCGGTCGATATCTTTGTTTAATAGGTGTTTGATCTTTTAACCGGATTTGATGGCACAGAATGTTTGTTGGTCCCTTGATATTTTCGAATTTTCGGAGTTTCCTATCTAGAAATTTCTCCAGCCGTNTTTTTTTTCTGCCAATGGCGATAGACCTTCCGCCATTGTTAATATGTCCGGACTCTGCTTATTCTTTTTTAAGATTTGTTCTCCTGCCGGGACAATTGGTATCCCCATTTTGTGCCATAAATCCACTCCAATAAGCATCAGTGTCGGTAACCCCGGCATGACTAGAAATGTGTGTCTGTATTTCTTTCCTTCATATGTGATTTTCAGTCGGTATGCTGATTTGATATTCGACTGATTTCCGTTGGCGATTGTAATTCCAGTATCTGCTGTTTTTTCTACATAGCCATGTTTCTCGGCCAATGCTGCGGCCTCGCTGTTTATGAAGGAAAGGTTCGATCCGGTAGCTATCAGTGTTTCTATTAAGTTCCCATGGAAATTTATCCAAATATACGGCCGCAGTTTGAATTTTATTCCTGGTCGGACCGGATCGCTGCGGCAGTTTCCCCGGTCCGTGTGGCGTTTCTCGGGCGTAAGTGACAATCTTTTGTCAGCACNCCGTCTTTGCCGCACTGTGAGCAGAATTTTCTCGCTGGTCTCTAGCACTGCTTTCGCGTATGGCCCCGCTGCTTGCAGCGCCAGCAACATTTCGCTCGATTATAGACTGCCGCTGCGGTGGCTGCCGGTGGCTTCCGGAATTCTTTTTTCTGCTCCTCAAGTTTCTCATATTCGGCCACTAACGCCGTTAATTTCCCGATTGTCTGGAAGCTTCCCCGACATATAAAGAATTTGATGTCGGGTGCCATGTTGGTGTATAGTCGCTGCAATTGTTGCTCAGTTGTGAACTCTCCTGCCGTCTCATCTTTGTGAGGAGCTCGGTGGCATATGTCTTGAACGGCTCGTTTTGTTTTTGTCTCCGGTTCAGTACCTTCGTTGTTAATTTTTCCCGGAATGCTGGTGAGAGTACTGATTCAAAAACTCTCGTCGAAACTGTTGCCATGTATCAAAGAACGTCTTGTTGTTCCGGTGCCACAACAGTGCTTCTCCGCGTAGCAGAATCGGTAATGCTTTTAACAAAATCTCGTCTGGGCAGTTCGCTGCCTCGGCTAATTCTTCGATATGCTCGAAGAAACCGAGCGGGTCTTTTCCGTCAAACTGTACCCCCCACTTGCGCAGTTGGCGTCAAGTGTCATTGGTGGAGATAACGGTGGATTTTGCATTTCGTTTACCGCACCCTGTGTCCCCGAGTACGCTGGATTTTCTCTCGAAAATGTTCTCAGTCTTTGTCGCAATTTTTTGATCGTTCCCGACGAGTCTATCTCACGACTCGTCAGCTCGTTATTCAATTGCTCTTTTGATAGCTTCTGTATTCAAGCCATCGTCCGATTTTCGGTTGCTGTAACAGATCTTTAAAAAAAAACAACAAAAAAAAACAAACCGGCAATTGCTACTTAAACCTCCCGTGTGGTTGTATAGTAGCTGCAAAGTATCCGAAATAAGCTGCAAAGTATCCTGAATCACTCAGTTTTTACCCTGTGGTATTCTCTTTGTTCGGGCGTTAGGTAACGTCCGAATTTAATACGAAATCACCTGTTCGGGCGCCATGTAACGGTTCTACTTTTTGTAAGGAGTTCCACTTTTCTTCAAGTAATTTAATTGCTGCGGATTAGCTCGTCGGNATCAGGGAAAAAGTAGAAATAGAGTGAATTCGGTGATTTTTAATAACAAAATTGATAGAATTTATTCAACCAAAAAGAAAAGAAAAATATGTACAATAAAACAATTCACTGTATGGGTGATTTCAAAAAAAGGAATATCGCGTTTCTATCGGTGATGCGTAAGATAGTTACGTTTATACCCAGTTCATTCAACTTTTACGAAAACACAAAAAAAACTAAGATATGTACATATAGCTGGTGATTTAAACGGCGCGACTCTGTCAAGGCCATTTGGAAGCCTTGGACAGATGTTTTGTTTTCCGAAGCGCAAGTTCCGTGTTAACGCTCGAAAACGCGGTTTCTTGCGAAAAATGATATTTATCGCAAGGAAAATAACTTTTCTACTTAAAAATGAGTTACACAATGTTGCTTCGAAAACTGAGTTTTGTCGGTTAGCGGAGAAAACATTTCCAGTGCCAAAAAGTCACTTTCTTTCGAAAAAGTGTACTTGGTCGCTGGATCGGTCTTTCTACGCTAGGCTGCTATTACTATCGCGCTTCGTTCGTTCTCGTGGAGCGGCTCCAACGGAAAGAATTGGTTTGCCCGACGGAGAATACGCGATTCTCCAAGAACGGTTCTAACGGAAAGAAGGCCGATGTTCCCGGCGGAGAATCGTGAGATTTCCCGGAAAAGTTTCTAACGCAAGGACAGCCGGTTTACCCGGCGGAGAATCGGAAGATTCCCCAAACGGAGCGGAAAAAAGAGCCGGTTTTCTCGGCGGAGAATCGGAAGATTTCCCGAATAGAGCGGAAAGAGAGCCGGTTTTCCCGGCGGAGAATCGAAAGATTCCCCGAATGGAGCGGAACGGATGCCGATTTACTTGGCGAAGAATCCAGAGATTCCCCGAAGCGGAGCAGAACGGATGCCGGTTTACTCGGCGGAAATTCCAGAGATTCCCCGGAGCGGAGCGGAGCGGAAGCCGGTTTACCCGGCGGAGAATACAAGATTCTTCGGAGCGGAGCGGAACAGGTGCCGGTTTACCCGGCGTAGAATACAAGATTCCCCGGAGCGGAGCGGATTGGAAACCGGTTTACCCGGCAGAGAATCCAGAGATTCTGCTGAGCTCCCCTCCTTCGGGAAGCAAGGGTGCGCACGCGCCGGTCTGGCTGCTCCGGAAGATGTCCTGCTGGGCGCGCCGTGCGCCCGTCGCATTTCAACAGATACCTAGGATGACGGTGTGGCGGCGAGCGATCTCGACGTTCTTGACATTCCTCCCCCCTTGCTATGTAGCTACCTGCTGACAATGGTGATGGGGGGGAGGGCGGCGCGCAAGGGACGAGGTGCCGGCTCTTTTGATGCAACTGCTACCCCCACTGGAGGGGATAGACAAATCCGCGACCGTATTTGTCCTTGCGGCAGCTGTCCTCATTGATGTTCTCGTCAACGCCCTTTTTGGGACGGCTCCCTTCGATGGTCCCGGCTTGGACACCGTCCCCGCAGCCGTCGCTCTCGGCGGCCTCATGGTGATGGCGACCGCCTGTCCTGCTGTGACGGCTGCATATGTGGGGGATGAACTCGTTGATGTCTTTGTCGTTGATAGTGGTGTTGTCGTTGGAGAAAGCCCGCTGGGTAAAGTCCACAAAGCTGAGCGGACCTTCTTGTTGGCGGTGGTGGTGGAACGCGCGCCGGATTGCCGCGGATTAGTGGAGTTTTTTGCGGGGCGGTTCTTTTTATTTGTTGTCGGGCCCGCGGACGGCGCGGAAGATGGCGCAGCTCCAGGATTGCTTACTATTTTACTTGGACTCGCCTCTGCTGCATCCGGGGGTGGGGGGTGAAATTTTTCTATGTGAAGTTTGACATCCTTTTGCGGGTACATCGTTGTCCCCCTGTACCCGCACATTCCACATTTGTAAGTAATAGTGTCCCCCGGATGATCCTTTTTTAGATGTTTCGATAGATGAGGCGGGTCCGCAAATGTTCCCGCGCGTACGGTGGGACGCAATACGTCGCTGCCATGGTAGCGGGGGCAAACAACATGCACGGGAAGCGGAATCTCAATGACAATTTCCCTAGGCTCGGCCTCTAGGGACAATTTGGAACGATCGCGGCACAATGCCTGTGCGGATTCGCTTTAACAATACTACTATGGGATTCTCCCGCTCGATGTCGCCTCGGTAGGCAACGACGCACCTGTCACTTGGATTCTTCTAAAATTAGCAACGAGTATTTTATTGTTACTTAATTAATTAATATTACTTACGTTGTTTTAGATATTGCGCCGGGGTAATCAAGTGACGCACGGATATCTCGGGCCGCAGAGATGTGTGGTGTGAGTGCCCAATGGTAAAAAGGTAAACACAATAGGGTAAATTAAAAAAAAATAAATAAAAAAATAACAACAATAAACAATTAATAGCAATAAGTGACAGGTGCGGACGACGAACGGAACGCGGAGACGCGGATGGAGTAGACGCTTCAACCCCGAGGTGCCTGCCAAATAAGTCTCTGCACGCGGATGTCACCAGCCGCAATCTTTTTGTAAAAATAGAGGGTGAGGTTTATATTAATTATATTAATTTTTGTATAGTTAAGATTAGGAGACACGCGCGATTATAATTTGCGTTAATTTATCCAACTAAGAATAAGTTAAGCAATAAAAAGTGGAAATAATGTTTCTTCTGGTTTCTATGTTAGATTATGCGCTGGTGACAGATGGCAAAGGCGTGTAGCACAGACAGATAAGTATAAATTATTTTTGTTAAAATTGGCAGGCACCAATTACAGGCACTGTGCCTGTGTAAGTGAATACAAAAATGTAAGTCCCTGTAATTTTTTTTTTGTTTCAGAGGCAAGCGAGTAATAGAAAAGCTGCAAGGAACAGGAGTTCTAGACCTACCTTCGCAGGATCTGACAGATAACTGCGATGGAGGAAGCTGCAAATATGTTCTTAGAAATGACAGGAGGTGAGTGGTTAATAAAATAAAAATTCAAATTAATAATATGTGTATATATTTCTAACTGTAACAATGTGTGGAGTAATAAAGATATGTCAATGACTAAAAAAAATTATAGTTAGAAATAAAATTATTTTATACCCTCCCTCCCGTGATAACAGCAGCAGCAGCAGAATTTTTAACCTGTACAGAGGAGGATATTGGAAAGCAGGTAGGTAGTCTTTGATTTCTTTATTCAAACAGTTGTAACGGTCCTACTTTTTTGTTTGCTAAGTTTCCTCTGTTTTAAAAAAGTCAAAAGGCCGATACGAGCAGTAAAATACAGGTTGGTCGTGTATAGAAAGTAATCTTTCTTAAATAAACAAACGTTTCAATCCCAACACTTTTGGACCTTCTTCAGTGTATTAAAGTTTAAATTAAAATAAAAGCCGTTATAGCTCACTACATTGTAAAGATTCTACTTTTTGTGAGAATTATTTCGTTCTCTTTAATTAATTTAACTGCTGCGGAGTAGCTCGTCGGAATCAAGGAAAGGTAGAAAAAGAGTGAACTCGGTGATTTTACAATAAAATTTATTCAAACAAAAAAAAGAAAAGAAAAATATGTACATCAAAACAATTCACCGTATGGTGATTTCAAAATAACGCGTTTCAATCGGCGATGCGTGAGATAGTCACGTTTATAGCCGGTTCATTCAGCTTTCAAGAGAGAAACACAAAAAAAACTACGATATGTACACACGGCCGGTGATTTAAACGACGCGACTCTGTCAAGGCTGTTTGGGAGCCTTGGACAGATGTTTTGTTTCGGAAGCGCAAGTTCCGCGGTGACGCTCAAAAACGCGTTTTATCGCGAGAAATAATATTTATCGCGTGGAAAGTCGCTTTTCTAATGAAAAAAGAGTTACACAATGTCGCGTTGCAAACTGAGTTTTATCGGTTCGCGGAGAAAATATTTACAGCCTCGAAAAGTCACTTTCTTCCGAAAAAGTATATTTGGTCGCTCGACCGGTCTTTCTACGCTAGCCTTCTATTACTATCGCTCTTTGCTCGTTCTCCTGGAGCGGATCCAACGGAAAAAGTCAGTTTGCCCAACTGAGAATACGCGATTCTCCAAAAACGGTTCTAACGGAAAGAGGACCTGTTTTTCCGGCGGAGAATCGGAAGATTTTCCGGATGGAGCAGAAAGAGAGCCGGTCTTCCCGACGGAGAATCGAAAGATTCCCTGAACGGAGCGGAAAGAGAGCCGGTTTTCCCGGCAGAGAATCCAGAGATTCCCCGAACGGAGCGGAAAGAGAGCCGGTTTTCCCGGCGGAGGATCCAGATTCCCCGAACGGAGCGGAACACGAGCCGGTTTACCCGGCGGAAAATCCAATGATTCTCCGGAGCGGAGCGGAACGGATGCCGGTTTACTCGGCGGAGAATCAAGAGATTCCCCGGAGCGGAGCGGAACGGATGCCCGTTTACCCGGCGGAGAATCTAAGATTCCCCGGAGCGGAGCGGATGCCGGTTTACCCGGCAGAGGATCTAAGATTCCCCCGGAACGGATCGGATCTCTGAGTTGCGTTCGGTTTGCCCGACTGAGAAGAAGCTTCCCTGCTTGCTACTCGTAAGATCCGGAGATAGGAGCAGATCGCATTTCCTCGGTTTTCGGCCCGGCTTTTATACCCGCATTTTCCCGCGGGCGGGGGTTGACAAGGATGCGTGGAAAAACACGTATTTGTTTGTCGCTGTCTGTTTCGTGGCGCGACGAGGCGCGCGATGCGGGCGCGGTAACAGCTGGCGCTCGTAGGCGCAAGGCAGCGCGCGGTGCGGGCGGAACGCAGGCCGTCAGCGTATAGTTAGTATACGCTGATTTTAAGTTAGTATTTGGCGCTAATCGCCGCGTTTTAAGCCAAACGGATGGTCTGTCCCGGCCGTAATAATATGCATCGTTACAACATCACTACCGGATAAAAGAAATAATGTCAATAGAACTTGACCACATCAAATACAATAACATACTTTGTACTGAGGTGTACGGTGTACTGTGTACTTTCTATACACGACCGACCTGTATTTTACTGCTCGTATCGGCCTTTTGACTGTTTTGATCTTTTCTCGAGCGATTTATTGATTACTCAGTTTTGTTCAAATCAATTTAATATTAGCTGCGGAATAGATCGTCGGGATCAGGGTGAAGAAAATAGAGCGCACTTGGTTACTTTCAGAACAGGAAAAATAATAAAAGTTATTAATGAAAACAAGACGTAGACTAGATGATCGGCCGGCCCTCTTTGCTGGGCGTAAAGCGGCGCTGGTATTCGCTCGTTCTCCTGGAGAGGATCTAGTAAAATCAGCCGGTTTGCCCGGCGGAGAATACGAGATTCCCCTGGAGCTAAACTAGCGGAATGCGCCGGTTTGTTCGGCGGAGAATACGAGACTCCCCTGGCGCGGATCTAGCGGAAAGAGCCGGTTTTCCCGGCGGAGCATCAGAGATTTCCCGGAGCGGAGCGGAACGGATGCCGGTTTACCCGGCAGAAAATCAGAGATTCCCCGGTGAGGATCGGATCGTAGAGTCGCTGTCGGTTTGCCCGACCGAAAAGGAACTTCCCTAGTTGCTTTTCTGTTGATCCGGATATCGGAGCAGATCTGATCTTCTCGGTTTGTGGCCCGGCTTTTGTACCCGCAGGTTTCCGCGGGCGGGGTTGACAAGATGCGCGGAAAACACTTGGTTGTTTGTCACGCTGATTTGTTTTGTGGCGCGGCGGGGCGCGCGGTGCGGGCGCGGTAACAGCTGGCATTTGTTGGCGCGGGGAAACGCGCGGTGCGGGCGGCGCGCAGGCCGCTTGAAGGCGCGGGGAAGCGCGCGGTGCCGGCGGCGCGTAGGCCGTCAGCGTAGGGGGGGAAGCGCGCGGTGCCGGCGGCGCGTAGGCCGTCAGCGTAGGGTGATACTCTATTGACCACAGTACGATTCGACACCGCTCGATTCGACACAGATTTATTCGACACCAAATTATTNGGCGTGCAGGCCGCTTGTTGGCGCGGAAAGCGCGCAGTGCGGGCGGCGCGCAGGCCGCTTGTGGCGCGGGGTTTGCTCGGTGTGGGCGGCGCGTAGGTCGGCAGCATGTATTTTATACATGCTGCAGGTGTGCTAAGTTTATTTTGGCGCAAATCGCCAATTTTGGGTCGGGACGAATAGTCGGTTTCGGCCGTAACAATTTACATCGTTACATTTCCCTTCTCCTTGGGGGACTAGAACATTAAGCAGGACGAATATGATTGTAAAATCGTCACTTGGCATTTTAATGACAATTTCTAAAATTAATGCACTTAGGGCATCAATAGGTAAGCATGAAGATACGTTTTCCATGTTTTTATTGTCAAGCAAGAAGACTGTTGAGCGAAGGACGCAACATGAATCGGTTTTTAAAGGTTGCAAGGAAGCTTTTCTTGATGTTTCTGCTGTTTTGGCTTATCTATTTGAGGAGCGAGCTTTGGAGCGGGATGTAGTCAGGGAAATTAAGGTGGTCATTGATACGCTTAAGAAAAATAGTAGTCAAGAGGACGTATCGCGATCGCAATCTGTAAATGGAACGAGTGCTATTAGAAACAATAGACTTCATTCTTATGCATCGGTTGTTGCCTCGGCTAAACACAAAGTGCATGTGTTGCGTGGACCGACTGTCGAGGTTTATTGTTCCGCATTCTTTTTAATAATGCCTCAAGAAGACAAATGCAACAATTTTGTTTCGTCGCAAGCAACGAACGAAACCCTATGCAAAGTACTCAAACCTTTGGATTGTGGACTTAATATTAACAACATTTTTTTTGTACATAAAAGCGGACTAAGAATAAATGCAACTTCTCCTGATTTGGAAAAATTAAAAGAACACAAAGGATTGGCTAGAGCTGGCCTCAGAATTGTTGAAAATGCAAAATCA